GGCCAGGTCCTCTTTCTTGAGGGGAGGGACACAGTGAAATAATGAGAACTGTTCTGCAAAATAGAACAGGGTCCCATGTAGATGATACAGTGATGTTAAATAGAACATTCCCCACAGAAGTTTAATGCAATTAGTATCAAGGTGACGCTTATTAAATGCTGATGCAAGCGTGCCATTCAGGAGTCTTGCTTTATACCTAAAAAAATGATGTGTTCCTGATTGTGGAATATCTTTACAGGTAGAAGGCAGGTAATAGTTATATAGAAATAAAACAAGAATAACCATGTATAGGATACAGCCTCAAAGATTCCCAGAATATTAGAGCTACAAGGCACGTTAGAGACCACCTCCTAACTTTAAATGCTCTTTTGAATATTCTAGTGAGAGAAGCTGCAGCCTGTTGAGACTCCACAAGATGAAAGATACGAAAAGAGGACATATGTGTGAACGCCTGCATTGAGAACCACCCTTGCTGCTGCTCCCACTCTAATGATCATGCCCATTATTAACTGAGGGACGGCTGTGGGCCTTGTCTTTGCATTACACGGACCAAGAACACTTCACAGGACTCAGAGAGGTAAATAAGAGAAACCGATTTTTGTAGAGGATGAAAATGAAGCACACAGGGAAGTAAAGTGCCCAGTGTGAAAAATCCCGTCTGAATTGGCTTTAGAAACCGTATATTTACTTTTTCATATAATTTGTTTATCTAGAGGAAAAAATAACAGATGTGTTTAATGGCTTTGGAAACATTTAAACAGGTGGACCTCAAAATATGGGAAATGAACATATTGCCATTGTTTATTATATTTTCCTTCCTTCTATTTTTGCTTAAAATTCTTCAAGGCCTTTGGATATGTAAAAAAATGAGCATTTGTTTTATTATGTTGCTTAATAGAAACAATTTTTTAAAGTATTGAATTATGCAGTGACCAAAATACTGATTCTAAACAACAAAACATGCAGCTGTTATGAATCCTGGACGAGCTCTGGAAATGTGTGGTATTATCTTGCAGAGAAGCTGTTTTTGTTCTAGTCAAATATGGAAATTAGTTTAGAAACTTCATTTTAATATATAATTCTGATTTCAGTGTTACCAGTAAATATTAATGTCCTTTTCTAACAGTCTTAATTTCCTTTTCTCAACTCCCTTGAGTGATATATTT